AGCCCCCCCCCCCCCCCCCCCCCCCCCCGCCCGCGGCAGCAACGTCACTGATCTTGTCTTGATGCTTGTTTCTCATCTGTATTGTTTTCTCTTGTTACTTATTTGTCGCGCTTGGGCTCAAGAAAATGATATGATAATTATTCTTCTCTTTTTTCTTCAAGCTTCTTCCTATATCTCTCTTCACTGAGATGTACTACTATTCTTCTTCTCTATCAAAAATAATCATCTTTTTGGTTAATTATATATTACCTTTTCCTTTCAACTTGATTGTTCATTACAATCAATCAAATTCGATTGTTACTAGTTGCGTCTCTGATCCACATCAAGGCGTTACAGGGGGCGTGACTTCCGTACTGCGAAAATATTTGAAGTATGATGGAATTACAAGCGAAATGCGGACGTCGCGCTTTTCTCCCCTTACGAGGAACTCGAGATTTCACAATGCTTTAGCGAGTCGATTGACTGGTTAAAACTGAATTGAATTGGATATATCGAAACAGTTAAAATGTATACCATTGAAATCCTATGTAACTGATATGACTCAAAACGAACTCTTTACAATCTGAATTATTTGATAAATAGTGTGATCGACGATTTACGAAAACGAAATTTTTGTTTTTTCTTCAAATCTTTTAGTGCTATCGTAAAATGAAATTAGCAATGCTCGATAATTGTTTCATTAACTAAGGAAACAGCCCCATATTTTGATTACCGATTATAACTTATTGGTTAAATCTTCAAAATGTGTAATTTTTGTGACTCGATCGCTAACATGTTTGAAATTTAATGCGAGAAGAAATAGAAGCATCATTTTATAGTGTCTAGAAAAAGATGGCGTCGATTTTAGTATTTTTGTTGACGACTATTACAAAGTCAAAAACATAACAAATGTCAATTATTGGCTACCATAGTACATAAAACCATTCATTCGATTAATAAAAACTAAAGAAAGAAACATTTATTATTTTATTCATTTTTCCTGATACAATGTGATACTAGTTTGTTCATACATGAACTATAACATAGGTGTTCATAGATAAATTTGATACGATGTTTTGTGAAAATCAGAGAACTCGGATAATCATTAGATTTTTCGAGTGTCAGTATGAAATGTGAGTGAAGGTAAAAAGAGAATATAATCATATTCTGGCTCTTCTTTTGAGAGAAATCTATGCAAGATCATTGTTTCACTACAACACTTTATTTATCAATCTATTCTGGTATGCTCTTTCACTCTCTATTATTTTATGATCTTTCCGTTTTCACCTTTCTCGCTGCATCGTCTCTTATCTGCAATCATTTTATACCATGCGCACACAGCGACCAAGGATTGTCTACCGCTTTTGTTTTGTTTTGTTTTGTTCGTTTCACTTATAAATAACTGCGAAACCAAGAGCTGCCGCTATCGGAGACAACAAAATCCTAAGAGTTCCAACGTTGGTGGTTTTCAGTTTTTCTATACGTATGACTGATTATTGACATCTTTTTATTTTTCTATATAATCTGACGGGTTCTAGAGTTATATTTGCTCTTGAAGATCTACGAATCATCAAGTTATTTTATGAAGATACCGCAGTAAACGAGGCTTTCCACGGTTGAGTTTCAGTCAAAGAAGCAGAAAATAAATCTATCAAGCCATCCCAGGAGAATCAGGGTACGTCGGAATCGGTCGGAACCGGTCAGTTCCGTTGAATTCCGACGATTTCCTAACTAACGGATTCCGGTCCAGATTTCGTCGGACCATTTCCGATCGATTCCCATC